CTATTTTATTTATATAAATGTTTTAAATTTTTTTATTCATGGTTAGGCATTAAAAGTGTAACTCTAGAAAGCAATAATGATATCCATATGCAAAATAATACCCTGGAATATAATAATCAGTTTTTTCTCTAAATATAAAATTTAAAAATTGAATTAAAACATTAGAACAAAAGATTCTTTTCCTGAGAGTTTGGGCCAAAAACATTGGTGGGCATTGTACACAGGAGCACATTATACACAGCAAAATACAGTAGCTAGAAAGACAAGTGACTTTAGGGATAATGAAAGCTAGGAGACAAGGGAAAGACCTTCAAAGTGTTGAGAAGAATAACTGTCAGCTTATAATCATGTACCCAGCATAATTATCTTTCAAGAATGAGGGTGAAATAGTCATTAGCAGACAGAAAGAGTACGTTTACTATCACTAGTTCCACACTAATAGTATCTATAGTATGGACTTTAAGAATGAAAAGGACCCCAAGAAGATTTTTATAAGCCCAAGAAAGAATGGGGGTGTTAAGAGGACATAAGGGGAAAGAAGTCAAAGTGAAAACCTATGGTCTGACTCACAGAACTGCTGGCAGGGTTCAGAGGCGCCAAGGCCGCCGCTAAGTCTCATGCCACAGAAGACATGGGGGGGGGGGCGGCACATTGTTGCTGCTGCGACGGAAACCACCAAACACCTACTGCTTACCACGCACCCTCCCCCGGCACTGAGTGCCGGCTGTGGCCTCTGCAAACTGGATGTTGCTGAGGTGCTCTGCCCTTTGCACTCACTGAATAATACATGAGTAATGGGGTAGGAGGAAGGACAGAAAGAAAATAGGTCCAAGATGAGAAAACTACAGCTAACACAGCGATTTTCTGCGATACGGCAAAACAAGAATCAGAAACTCTAGTCTTGCAGTCTCCAAGCCATTACACACTTATCGCAAACCAGATTCCGGATCACACGGCTCCTTTGGAGATGAAAACGGGCCCCTGTGAAGAAGTCGCCGGGTGCTGGGGGCCGGGGCTGGGGCATTCCAGTACACGGCAGTGGGACTGGCTGCAGGGCAGGTCACACTCGGATGTCAATCCACAACCAGCCCTTCAGGGAAACTGGCCCTTCACATCAGGTCACTCTCCTGCTCACACGGCCGAAGGGTGGAAACGTAACACGTTCAAGTACTCAGAGCAGATACTGTCGGCCCTGTGCCCGCATCCACTGGGATTCGCTGACCTTCCCTGCAGGCTGCTCCTGGGTGCTCCCCGTGTCTCTGCCGGCTGACTGCCCAGGCTGCCAAAGGCCACTGTGCCCGATGGCCTGAAGTTCCCAGGGATTCATGCTTCCCCAAGGGCCACCCTGAAGCCCAGGGCTCTCAACTGGGGGCAGTGCTGACCTCCAGGGGTCAGAATGTCTAGAGGCACTTTTGGCTGTCCCCACTGGGAAGGGTCTGGGATGCTGGCATCTAGCAGGCAGGAGCCAGGGATGCTGCTGAACACCCGACTGTGCCAAGGCTAGACCACCGCAACACGGAACAAAGAACTATTCCCCAAATGGCAGTGGTGTCCGGGTTAATCTATACCACCCTACACAATGACCCACAGGCAGGGGAGCACAAACACTCCAGTTCCCCGGGACCTGATCTGGGTGCTTCTGGGGTGCGCGCTCCAGAGTGTTCTCCTGGGTCAGAGCTAAACTGACCTCCTTGGAAGTGTGCCTGTTCTGCTTCCCTTGTTTAGTTTCCCTCTCTTCCCTGTCCCCCTCCCTGCTGCCCTGCCAATTTGTCCTGAGAACACTTCCTAATAAACCACATTTGGGCAATAACCCATAGCAATAAACACAAATGGATATTCAAGGAGAATAAGATTTTACACACACAGCATGGAGGAGGTTACTAAATGGTTGACGGTGCTTTACAAAACCCACGTAGTTTGACAAGCCCCTAAGCAGGGGTTCAGAGCTCAGGAAACCCAAACCAAGAAAGCATGGCATGGTAGTAAAAACAACTAGTGCCCCGGTGACTAAGGAGTCAGGAAATCTTAAGTAAAGCACAGCACAGAAAAAAAGAGAAAATAAAAATTAGATACTTGCTAGGGTCTTTTATCTAATGTTCTCTTATGTCTTGGAGCAGTGGTTCTCAGCTGGAGACATTTGGCAATGTGTGGAGACATTTTTTGGCTGTCATCCTGGGGTCAGTGTGCTGTTGGCTTCTAGGGAATCAAGGATGCTGCTACATCCTACAATGATCAGTCAAGACCCTCAGTCTCACCACCCCTAACAAAGAATTAGCCAGCCAAAATGTCAACGGTGCTGAGGCTGAGAAACGCTGTCTCCCACGTTAGGTTGGATAGGAGCTACAGGAATCCCTGGTGGCTCAGATTTATGAGCCATCGAAAGGACTGGAGCATGCGTTCCCAATGCACCCGACACGCAGCACAGATGACAAGTGCTCTTCTGCACAAAATTTGGAAGGGCGTATCTGGAACAGATCTTGAAGTGCGAGGTGGCAGAACTAAGCACTCATCCAAGCAGCTAGAGACAGAGGAGAGCAGGGGTCTGAATCTTGGCAAGTTGGACATTATTCTGAAGAATCTACTCTCAGCCTTGTATTGGGATTTAAATACACTATGAGTTCGCATCCTGGAACCCGGCAATTGCCAAAGAAACCCCCCTCATGTGTTCATTAGCCTGTGGACACAACTTTGGGGGCCGAGTTTTCTCCTTGAAACATCTTCCTGAAGCAAAAAAGGAAAAGGTTCCCCCAAATCACATGCCAGTAAGAGAGAAAAGTATTTATAGCTGGCTTATCTGAGTTGATAACAATTTAAATGTACAACCTATTTGCTTATGAATCCGGGTTTGTTGGTGTAACTGGTAGTAAGAGGACACCACACTTAACTTTGACTTCACTTTCCTGTTTGGCGCTGGCCTCTCACGCCCTCACTAAACAAAGTGTTGGCAGTGAAATCCTACATGTCACGCAATTAGCCAACGTCGCATCTTGCTCGGAAAAATTTACACTCCCAACAAGAAATTCTAGGAATGAAAGCATGCTCGGTTTTATTATTAGAAAGGTACCCTGTTCCAGTAACCATAGTAAGTAGGCTAAAATGAAAACATTCATTCCTGGATTGATGATGTCTCTCAAAGGGATTTCAGAACAAATGTACAATTTTTGCCGAAGGCCTGACATAATTCTCTCTCACCTTTGATAATGACATATTGAAATGTGCATCAGAAAATCTTCTAAGGTGCTTAACATTTTGACAGACTAGTGGGGGTCAGTAAAGGTAGGGTGACAGCTGAAATGGAGTCAGAAGTTTTCAGCTGGTTCCTGAGATGGGGGACCTCACCCCGTCCTTCACCAGAGTCTTGCTCCAGGAATCGGGCAATGAGGGGCGTACTCTCCTCTCTCTGGTGTTTTCGGTAGACCCCTGAGTAAGAGATGGGCCTAGATACCATCTTCCACGGCTGACCCCACAAGGCTCTGTGACTACCTGTTATCAACTGACAAACAAATACACGTTTAACCCTTTTTCAGATCCAAGATCTCAAGGTTCAGTATTTGCTCTCAAGCGTATAATTGCCTATATTTTAGTCAGTAGCAAATCAATCATTTTAGGCTGTGATTCACAATGCTTGTAGTGACGAAATGGAAAAATTTTACACTAAATAGCAATGACTTTTTTAACCCATAGATGATCATGCCTTGGGAACATTGTATACCATCGAAGAGAGTGGAATTAACATTAATTGAGATTGAACTCCAGTTGAATTAACATTGACTGAGATTGAACTCCAGTTGAATTAACATTGACTGAGATTCAACTCCAGTTTTTCACTATGGTTAAGAAAAACGCACTTATTCTGAAAAGGGAGGGGCAACTGAGCATACTGATTCAAAGGAAGGCTATTTTATGGCCACTTGTGGCATTTAAGAAATAATAATAAATGTAAAAACAAGGTCTCCTTAATTTCTTCCCAGTTTGACATGTCAATCTTTGCTTGAATTTAGAAATAACAAAAACTCAAAGCACATCCTCATAGCAAGGTATTTTTCCTTTCCAATCATACCAGAGTAAATACATAACTTAACTAGGTAGAACTCTAATTGGTTAAATAATGGTAAATAAACTATATCTAAAGATTCATTCTACTCTAAGATTCTATGATTCTAAGATCAATCAGATAGGCTACATAACTATTACTATTTTAAAATAGGAATTCTAGAGTGAAAGTCTACACTTACGTCACATGTCATCAATTACTGAAAATCAGGATCGGAAGAGGACAGAGAAAATTGGCCTAATAATAGTTCACGAAGAGCTGAAGTCTCGGGGGTCTAATTGCAGATTCAAACAGTGATATAATGTGGCAAAATGAATGTAATTCTGGGTCACATTCATAGAAGTGTTCCAGCTAGACCACAGAAGAGAATAATCTTGTTGCAAGTGCTATACAAACCATTAATGCTGTAGTTCCTTAATTTCATAAAATAAGTCATTTGTAATGCTTCTTTCACAAGCAAAATGGCACCGCACTGCCAATATTGATTCACGCATCCAGAGCCCTAAACTCAAACTTGCGTAAGGCTGAGAAGAGGGATGGTGTGATTGTGAATTTATATGTCGACCAGGAAGGTGTTTTCAGAGAAGAATAACATTTAAATCGGTGGGCTTCAAGTCCAGGAGACTGCCCTCCATAATGTGGATGGATTTCACCCAATCCCTTAAAGGCCTAAACTGGAAAAAAAAAAAAAAAAAGAGCAGCCTCTGTGAGCCAGGGATGAGAACCGCACCACCTGCCCTCCTGGGCCTCGGAGCCTGCCAACCCGCCCTGCAGATGTGGGACTTCCCAGGCTCCGTAAGGGGGAGCCAATTCCTCGTACTGTACACATCTATAATAAATTATTTTGATTACAAATTAAAAAAATTCCTTTGTATTAATATATTCATAAAATATTTTAATTTTATTAAATACATAATTAAAAATATTTTTCTTCCTCCCCCTGCCCCAGCTCAGAGAGAAGATTAAGCGAATCTATCCTAGTCCAAGACAACACTGAAGAATTGCAATACCAGGTCAGACTCTACTTTAATCATGGCATGAAAATATTTTAATGTATGTTTTATAAATAATATTGGTTCTGTTTCTCCAGAGCACTGTAATGCAGAAGGCTTCCAGGAGAAAGTGATTTGAAGCTGAGACTGTCACGCTGCATGGAAACCAGGAAGGTAAAGTGGGGTGGAAAAGGGAAGGCGCTGACCGAAGTGTTTAGGCAATGGAAAAAACAACGCAGACAGAGCTGGAAAGGGCAGGACTGTACACGAGACACGGAAAACCCCAGACCTAAGGTAATGATCCCAGGTTCTGGAATTTCGTCACAGTCTGTGTTTCACTCTGGATCCTGAGAAAAGCATTCCCAGGGGACAGGGATTTACATATCATCAGATTACTTTTCTTTTTCTCAGGACAGACTAGTGTTTCAAGAGATTTCTGGCATGTAATTAATCTCTCCTAGTATTAACTGTTGCTATTTAACTTGAGTCAGATCAGATTGGAAGCTACCCAACTGCTAATGGCCGTCCTGTTACAGCTCAGGCCGGCTCAGCACTTCTTCCTACCCAGAGCTTTCTCACAGACTCGCACGGAGGGCAGCCTACAAACATACGCCAAGCAAATTTAAAACATGAAAGTTTTAAAGGACTGTATATAGACTTAATTATAAAATGGAAAAACAGGATACAGAAATGCAGTCTTCTCTGGATCCCCCATAAACAGACACCCAGTACACACCAGTTGACTTCAGAGCTACATTTACCTGGATCAGTCTTAGGTTACCTAAGATGTACCCACCTAAGATAGGTAGGTTCAGTTACCTAAGGAATTACCTAAGGTAGGTAATATCAGTTACCTAAGATGAACCATGTCTCAGGAGCTTATAGTTTTCCTTGGGGAAGGACATTAATTAACCTCTTCAAATGGGCACGGGGATACTCATGACCAAACTGGCTTGGTGATGGCTCCTGTTTTATCTCCATGCTTACAACTTTGTATGTATTTTCCCTCGTTATTATTATGCCATGATGAAATTATTTGAAGTCTTAACAAACATAGCCTTCTCCATAAGTAAGCTTCCAGCTGGTTTTTATAGATACACTATAGTAACCCTTCCCTCCCACCGAAAAAAAATTATTAATAGTCTCTGTTATTGTGAGCACATCCTACAGGAGCAGGAAGGTTAACCTCGGGTTAAGCAAATTCCTCAGTGGTTTTAGCTCTAGAACTTGCGCCTCTCTAGCAGACACTGCTGTGATATGCTAAAGTGATAATGAATGAGGATGACAAAGGACTTTCAGGTAACTTGGCACCACCAGCCCACCAAAGGGGTCAAGATTTCCCTGGGTGAAGGAATCTCTTCTGTTAATATTTGGTAACATTATCAACTAATGTTCCCATAATGAAGTACTCCTGACACTTGCAGAAAATATTGTGGCAGTGCAGGGAAGATGGGTAAATCTTTCAAACATATATTGTAATATAAAACTACAGTTCTTTCAAAACAGCTGTACACCACACTTGGAATGAAAAGACTGTTTCTCATTACCTTCTTCCTAAGGCAGAAAAATAGACACTGTGACTTTCAGAGAAGCAAACGGAGATGCTGGGCAGCATGAGCAGAACACTTCTAACCCTTTCAAATGACCCTGAGACAAAAATGGAAAACCCTGCTGGAGAGGCGAGGCCCACGTGGAGAGAGAGAGGCAGGTGTTTTCCAGCAACCATTTCCCCGTATCTTTGGAAAACAGATCACCACTTGGAAGCTCTGAGCTCCAGTCATCCAAATCCCAGACGGTTACAGACTCGCATGACCTGCGACGTTCTTCCCCGAGCCCAAGAGGAATGCTGCGCTGATAACCTTCCCTTACCTCCCTGGCGCTGGGAAGCCTCCCAGCCCAGCACAGCGCCTGCCCTGTCTGGCTCCATAACCCTTCCAACACCAGTGCCTTATCACCTGGCACGGCTCCTACAGTGTTAAAGCTATCGCAGCTAATGCAGCGAAAATGAGTCCAAACGTTTCTCAAAAAGGAAGCAAAGTGCTTTGTAATGAACCGTGTCAAATACTTCAAATGCTATCGATAGAACCCAAACTACAAACCTGGAGACTTCATTTGTACATCACTAAACACACATCCGCGAGTTACCAGAGTGGTGGGAACGTCTACACCTGCACCGCGATGACCTGGGTATGTCTGGGAGACGCCATAAAATGTGATTAGAACTGAGCAAGCTGAGACTTCACTGATTAAATGATAACCTGCTGGGCCAAAGAGTCTGTAAATAGGGGGAGACAATTAGAATGAAATACAGCAAAAGTGAAACTCGAAGAGGCGGGATCAGCTGTGTGAGTCCCGTGTTCTCCAGGAGAAAGGCACTAAATATGGGCATCAGACAGTGAGGACCTTCAGCAGTCTCCGGTCTGGGGCAGGATGTTAAACTGTCCGTACCAGATAACTGTCTACAATCCACTTCCCTTTGCTCTGATTTAATGCTCCAAACAATGATTTGGCTTCTAAAATTCAATTTCGTAGGTGCCTTGACACAAAACAGAGATTGGTTGTGAAGGCAGACATAAATATTTCTGTCGTTGGAAGGGACTACCCTCCCTTTGTAAATTAGGAAACCAGTATTGTAGTTTGAACATCAGACTTTGGAAAGTTTTGTTAGCTGAGCCAATTCCCCTAATTTATTAGTGTTCTGAGCAAATGAAAACTCAAGCCCTGCAAAACTGTGGGCCCAGACGCTGTGCTCCCAGACTCCATCCAGGGGAAGCTGTCCTGGGCCGTCTTGGTTGCCCCGAGTTATTTGCACCTCCCCTCTCAAAGAACATCCAGGTTTTTCTTGGGTCTCATGGCAAACAGCAACAAGCACACAAGGTCTGGAAAAGAGTCATTTCTGCACAGGAATAATTTGACTGAATCAGTGTTTTACAAATGTGGCCCAGAGACCAAAAGGTTAACATAACACCTTCCAACATCCTATTTTAAAAACAAAAATAGATGGGTACCTAGTTTACTTTTCTCACTCCTAGGACATGAAAAATATCTAGGCAATAACATTAGAAACAAACACTCCAGGAACCCAAAGGGACAAATTACATTTTAATGTGTGAACTGCCTGAAGATAAAGCTTCAAGGCTGAGGCTTTACAATATTTCCTGGATATAACACCGAAGGCGCAGGCAGGAAAACCAATAGTGGTCAAATTGGACTTCATAAAAATTTTAAAATTTTGTGCATCAGAAGATAATATCAACAGAATAAAAAGGCAGCCCACAGAATGAGAGTATATTTGCAAATGATAAGGGAAGAACATCCATAACATATAGAGAATCCCCAAAACTCAGAAACAACAACCAAAAAACTTCAATCCATAAAAGGACAAAGAACTTGAATAGACATTTCTGTAAGGAAGATGTACAGATGGCCAATAAGCACACGGAAACATATTCAGCATCACTAATCATAAGGAAAATGTAAATCAGAAGTACAAGGCGGTACCACCTCACACCAGTTAGGATGGCTGTTATCACAAAAAACAAAACAGCTGGCCACAATGGAGGTGTAGGTAGACACACTGTGACTCCTTGCACAACCAAAAGAAAGACAACAACAAATTTAAAAACAAAAACCAACCAGAACTGACCCAAAATCAAACTGTATGGAAGTCCACCAACCAAGGAGTTAAAGGAGACACATTCATCCAGACTGGTAAGAGGGGCAGAGATGGGCAGCTGGGCAGAGAGGACTCACAGTAAGGTGGCAGCTTGCAGACCAGGTGGTCCTCACATTTGCACGCAGATAATTCTGGAGGAACAACCAGAGAGCGAGACAGACCCAGCAACCCAGGCTCCCAGGGCCGGGAAATAAAGCCTCAAACCTCTGACTAAAAACACCTGTGGGGGTTGAGGCGGCAGTGGGAGAAACTCCCAGCCCCACAGGAGAGTTTGTTGGAGAGACCCACGGGGTCCTAGAACCTACACAAACCCACCCACGCGGGACTCAGCACCAGAAGGGCCCAATTCGCTTGTGGGCAGCAGGGGAAGTGACTGGAAGTGGGGAGAGAGCTGAGCGAGCAGTACTGTTTTCTCTCGGACCCTCCCCCACGTGCAGCATCATAGCAAAGCCAGGTGGGTTGCCCCGCCCTGGTGAACACCTAAGCCTCCACCACTTACTATGTAACAGGTGGGCTGAGACAAAAAAAAAAAAAATTGGCCCAGATGAAAGAATAGATCAAAACTGATCTTTTGTATGGGCCATTTTTTTGTCTTGACGCGCCTGTCACGTAGTGAGGGGCGGAGCTGTAGGTGTTCACGGGGTGGGGTAACCCAGATGCCGGTTGTGACACTGTATGTGGGGAGGTGTCTGAGAGGGAACAATGGCATTTGCTCCTGTCTCTGCCAGATTTCAGTCACTTCCCCTGATTCCTACAAGCAAATTGGGCCCTTCTGGTGCTGATTCCCAGTGGGTGGGCTTGTGTAGGTTCTAGGACCCAGTGGGTCTCTCCAACAAACCCTCCTGTGAGGCTAGGAGTCTCTCTTGCTGCTGCCCCAAACCCCAGAGGTGTTTTCAATCAGTGATTTGAGGCTTTATTTCCCGGCACTGGGACCCTGGTTTGCATGGTCCACCCTGCTCCCCAGTTTCTCCTGGTTTATCTGCACTGAAATGCAGGACCGCCCAGTCCACAACCCACCACCTCTGTGGGTCCACCAGCTGCCCCTCTGCCGTGACCCCTCTCTGCCTGGCCCGACTCCACCTCTCCTACTGGTCTGAATGAATGTGTCTTTAACTCATTGGTTGTTGGACTTCCACAGAGTTCGATTTTCTGTCAGCTCTAGTTGTTTTTTGTTTTTTAAATTGTTGTTGTCCTTCTTTTGTTGTGCAAGGAGGCACAGTGTGTCTACCCATGCCTCCATCTTGGCCGGAAGTCGTGAAGATGGTAAATTTATGTCATGTATATTTTACCATAAAAATTGATCCCCCCTCCAAGAAACTACATAACTTAGGTATGTGTATGAATTTGACTATGGTCTACATAGTTCATTAATTCCCTAAGGACTATTAACAAAATCACCTAGGGGGCTTTTTTCAAGATTCACCACCTACTTGCAGATTATTACCTCTGTGACTCACTGTTAGTGATGAAAGTGTGTCAGAACCCGCAGGTATGTTGGGGAAGAAAAAAGAAGTCAAAATGATCTTGTTTTATATATCCGGGTAATACTCTTAGGGAAAAAATGAGATTTTTAAAAAACTCTCTCAGCCTCCAAGAAGGAATGAGGAAAAGGAAACCTTGGAGAACTTCTTATTGTCCACACAGCGAGGCGAGAACAGAGGCTGGACACGGGGAGCACCTCTGGCCTGAGAGCTGTGTATTCTAGGCCAAAAGAACAAAGCCATCATTCCTAGCATTTTTCTGTTGCTCTGTTACTTTTTCTGTAACATACTTTCGTTTGGACTGGGAAAGGGAAAGTTTCCCCCTTTGTTTTTTCTCAAGGTTAGTTTTTTCTAGACTGGGAAAAGAAACAAACTTGACTGCAATCAAATCTGTCATAGTATTTCTATCACTCTTCCAACCCGTCTGAATCATTTATTGCCCTCACTTTCAAGAAAACAGATGTTCTTTTTTCTGCAAGACACAGGACATGTGTGTTGTGTGCAGAGATGGGCGCATGTGCATGCGGGGACACGCAGGCACACGTACACACCATAAGCCAAATCCTACCACTGAATGTGACCCGCTTGACCCCTGATCTCACCATTTCCCTGCAGAAGCCCGCTACCTGTAGCCCACCCCTCCTTCTGCCTTGCCCTCATGTTTCAAAAACAATGAAAATATCTTTCAGGAAGAATAAATGAAATGTTTATAGAAAAGTCTCAAGTACTGTTCAGTCTCCCAGAGAAGAACTCTGCTTAGTTCAGAAACAACCTAGTGTTAACATTTTAAGAAAATGTCCCTGACGCCTTTTTTTGTCTTCTGTTTTCTTTCCTTGCAGCCCTAAAAGATAGAAAAGATTTAACACACGTGACGACACTGAGGGGTGGAGCTACGAATACATACAGGAAGAAGGGAAATGCAGAAAATGGGACATATTTTGTCTTTGGCCTTCCCACATACTCTAAAAATAACTGACTACAATGCAGAGATGTCCATGGTCTTTTTTGTCTAAAGTCAATAAAAATAAATGACATTTAGAAAATCAACTTTCTCGGGCGCTCACAATCAAAAACCGGCAAACTTTCGACCCTAAACAAATTTCCACACCGAGGCGAAACCAGCGGCTGGCGGAGCAGGGTTGCGCAGGAAAACTCGGCCAGACACACTCAGGCCCACAGAATCCAGGCGCAGGGTCGGACCTGGTGAGCGATCCAGCGAGCAACCAGGCGAGCGACCTCGGGGGAGACAGCCGGGCCTGGGGCTGCATGTTGACTGAGGTCGCGCATTTGTGCGAGGGTGGACAGGCGAGGGAGTGGGCGGTTGGACCGGGCCAGCAGGTCCCCACGGCAAGCCGCAGTGGAGGGCTCCGCCATTTCCCTGCTCTGGCCACGCCCCCACATACAGCGTCACAACCCAGCGACCTGGGAATCCAAGCCACCGCTTCTCACACTTAAAGGGCCCGAACAGACCAAGAATGGCGCAGGAGGATCTCAGAGCCCCAGAAATAAATCTAAGCGATGAAGAAATAGCAAAACTCACAGACGCACAGTTTAAAAAATTGGTGATCAGGATCCTCACAGAACTGGTTGATTATACGGACAAATTAGACAAATATATGAAGGCGAAACTAATTGAAATGAATGGAATTGCACAGGACACCAATAGCAATGAAAAGGAAACTGGGACTCAAATCAATGGAGTGGACCAGAAGAAAGCAAATAATGGCCAAACAGAAAAGAGTCAAGAAGCAAGAATTCAAAGAAATGAGGAGAGTCTTAGGAACCTCCAGGACATCTTTAAACGCTCCAACATCCGAATTATAGGGGTACCAGAAGGGGGAAAGGCACAGCCACCAGTGGAGAACTTATTTGAACAAATAATAAAGGAGAATTTCCCCAATCTGGCAAAGGGAAATAGACTTCCAGGAAATCCAGGAAGCTCAGAGAGTACCAAAGAAGTTGGACCCAAGAAGGAACACACCAAGGCACATCGTAATTACATTAGCCAAGATTAAATGGAAGGAGAGAATCCTAGAAGCAGACCAAGAGCTAAGGGGACAGTCACCTACACAAAGGAGTCCCCATCAGACTGTCAGCGGATTTCTCAAAAGAGAGACCCATAGGCAAGAAGGGGCTGGAGAAAGAGGTATTCCAAGTCATGAAATCTAAAGAAAATCAACTTTCTCTCTGTCATCTTTTAAAGCCAAGTAAACATTGATTTACAAGTGGGTTGGCCTTAAAAATTGCTTAAGCTTAGAGTAGCTCAAGGAAAATAATGTCTTTAAGTATACATTGTTTGGGGAAAAAACCCTAGATAATAATTCATCAATATAAACAGGAGTATTTGAAATAAACTAAGATATGAGGAAATTAAATGATGACAATTAGTATCACAGGAAAGACCACAGGTTTTCTGATCTCCTATTTGCTCATTCACTGCATAAAACCCAATGTTCTGATATATTCACTATAATATAAGCTGTATGAGGGCAGAGTTGTTGCTTACTAGGTGTATTCCCAGCACCTAAAACAAGAGGCACACAGTAGCTATGGGGTAAATATTTCTTGATAAATATTCCTATATTCTAGGTAGATAGACATGTATGCTAGAGGACTCTTCTAGTCTTTTCCAGATACAACAAAGATTGTATTATAATAGACCACACTAGTTTTCAGATTTTCTACGAAGAAAGAAGAAATTGAGCATGCATTTTGATAAACAGCAGGGAGGGGGAGGGAAAGGGGAAGGAGGCAGAAGGTGTAGCGTAACAATTCTGTACTCATTCCTCTGAGGGAAAGCTGAGTTACGACCAGGTGACTCATGGAAAACTATGCAGTATTAGGACACACATGAGCAACTCACTGAGAGTTCCCTCTACAACGGCCCTGACCTTGCTACTTTGCCACCCTTAACCGCGCTCCGTAAGCTTTTCTCCCTCTGAGAGGCCTCTCTCCTCTCTGGCTGCCGATCTGTTCTTCCCAGGGTTCCTTTTTATTGTAAGAAAACATGACTCGACGGTCCTCCCCACCCTCCTCATCTCCAGGTTCATTCATGACCTGTGAGGCCAAGTCCTCAGTCCCGAGATGTATACGCAGTTAGACTGACTTCTCTACCCCCTCTTTCCCAAGTCCCTCTCTTAAATTCTGCCAGGAAAGGTCTCCAAAATTCTCCTTTTGTCCTTCCAGATAGAACTGTCGCCCAGACCACCTTCTATTTATTCACCTTCCTTTCCACAGACGTCTCATGGATCCTGTTTAAGATGCTAAATACAATAACTTAAATATAAGGCTATTCATATTCGACAGGAACTTTTCAAAGCTGGACACGGTTAAGTATCTCTCCAATTTTATCAAACTTACCTGGCTCCCTGCAAAAAGCAAATGTTTAAAGTAAATTAATATTTTTTTGCGCTTAGTTATACACATATTAAGTTATTAACATGCAATATTAAGGTAAAATCAGATGACTCTCAACAGCAATCTACAAAATTTAGCACTAATTATGTTATGAATACTACTCAGAATATCAGGAAAAATTTTTTCTAGGTCTGTCTTTCCTAGGCCATACCTCATAGTGTGAGGCTACCATGTTTCTCTTTTCTATTATTAAGAAATACGTCAGTGGATTTTTAAAAGCAAATGTACCAAATACATACAATCCAGCATTCTCTCTCAATCAGGAGATACTGTACTGGCCTTTGCCACTTTACTACGCAATAAACCATGACTCACTGTGTTCATTCATTTCTCGGTTTATTCACCGCTGTATCCCTAGTACCCCAAATACTCCTATCAGGTCGATGAATGAAGAAACAAATATTTACTATGTACCTCTAATGTGCCAGGTACTGTGCTACCCTCAGAAATGTAATGATGTGACTCAGCTTATGTAATGACTTAATCACAATTATGATAAATGCTATAAAGGAAAATCACATGACCATTGAATTTAATACTGCCTAAGATGTAAAAAAAAAAAGACTCTTCTCTTGAGAAACATATTTAAGCAACATCTAAAACACAATCAGGATTTAGCAGAGGACAGAATAAAGAGGACAACTACTCCTGTGTGAAGATCCTGAGGACACTCGGGGTGCACTTCCTTCTGAGACCTGAAGAAAGGTCAGCGGGAATAGTCCAAGATGAGGCTGGAATGGAAAGCGGGGCTCGGACCACGCTGGGCCTGGGAAGACCACGTTAAGGATTTTGGGTTTCCCACCAAGAGCAGTCGGAACTAAGGAATGGTAGCCATAGCTACACTTCAAGGGTATCACTCTGGCTGCTGGGTGGAGAATGGATGAGAGAGAACAGGGAGGCAGGAAGACCAGTTTGGGGGCAGGTGCGGTACTGGAGGTGGGAGACGATGCTGTCACTGACAAGGGAAGTTACGGTCAAGTCCACTCAGAGGTGTTTCTGAATAGGGTAATGGATAGAGTGATGAGAGGAAGAGGAATTCCGAAGTGGCTCCTAGGTTGGACAAACAGGTGGGGGATCATCCCTTTTACTTAGATGGAGACCAGTGAAGGCCAAGTTTGTGGAAGGAACACGAAATCAAAAGCTTGGCCTGGGATATGTTCGAGAAATAATGTCCACATCATCCAAGCGACAGTGGAGCTCATTAGCAAGATTTGGGTGAGGACCTGAAGTTGACAGCCTTCTGCTGGCAGACAGCAGGTGAAGTCAGGGGGACAGCAGGTGAAGTCAGGAGAATAGTTGAGATCACCCAGAGAGACGATATAGAGTGAAAAGAAATGTGTGTTTTTGAAATATCCATAATGGCCATAATATAAAAAGTTGAAATTTATTACAAATTTCTGAAATCCTTCACAAATAAGCAATTATTTCATTAAACATACAATGGAAACTGTTGCTGGGAAATACAGTATCAGAGAAATTCATATAATTGAATTCAACCAAAAGGTCAGTTGAGGTTATTTTCAGACCACAATTATACAACATATGTTTAAAATCCCACTGGTTCCTTAACAGTCTGATAAGAGTTGGAACTGATATACTTCGGTGGTAATTTCTCTAGGAGTTACACTAAAGAAATCATGCAAAACTAAATGAAAGCCGAAGAGTGATGTGTTTTGACACAGGCTGCAGCTATTTAACTGTATTCATCTGAAAGCTTCTAAGTAAATACACTGTCAGGGAACAGTACTGTGCAAACGATCCGCTGGCAACACGAACCTTCCGGGGCTTTCTCTGGCCACTCAGCGTTATTTTGGTTCCCTTCTCATTACGAGTGAGCAATGGTCAAGAAATGCCTAAGCAAATACACAGGGAAGTGATTTTTGCACAGTATCTCATATTTTTATGACGGGCTTCTAGTGTTTTCCTCATGAGTAGCTGTGAATGGGACAGGGTATTTCTTTTTCTTTGTCCACATAAATCTTCTAAGAAACAGCCACAATATCTTTACTCAGTACCTCTTCCCCCAAGGAAGGCTGACGTCAACGCTAATGAACACGTTTGGGATCTCGGCTGTGTCAGTACCTGTAACTGAAAGGACTCGTTCTGTTTTTATGGTTCAAGTACAGTTGTCTCCATTTTGCAAATTAAATAATTAAAAGTTGAGTTACATACGTAACTGCAAATAATAAATTTAGGAATTGAAAGCGATAATAGAACACAGAAAAACTGCTCAAAAAAAATCCTAGATTTCTTAAAACAATAAAATCCATGATTTATTATCTAAAAGCCAATACACTTACTTTTCTGGTAGCTATTAAAATAGCTGCATTGGCAGAGGACTTATCAAGTAGTAAAACATGTCATTATGCACTCATCACAACTCACAGAAAACAAGAGTGAATCCTAATGTAAGGTATGGACATCAGGTGATACGGATACATTGATGTAGGTTCATGGATTGTAACAGAGGTACCACTCCGGGGCGAGCTGCTGGTAGCCAGGAAGGCTGCGCATGTCTGGGAGCAGGCGATATAAGAGGATTCTCTGCACCCTCCTCTCAACTTTGGTGAGAACCTAAAACAAAGTCTATTTAAAAAATGTGTTTTAAATAGCTGCCATTTGTCTAAACATTCAAAAGACTACCATACAACGTGATTTATCTTAAAAGTCCATTTGAGAATTGAGCAATGTATCATTTTTCACAAATCTAAAAAAAAAACAACAAAAAACCATTTCAGCCCTGGCTGGATAGTTTGGTTGGTTAGAGTATCGTCCTGATATGTCAAGGTTGTGGGTTCAATCCCCAGTGAGGGCACGTACAAGAATCGATGAATAGACTTCCAGCCAAGATGGACACATAGGTGCAGACATTGTGCCTCCTTGTACAACCAAATTTAAGGACAACAAAGATTCAGAAATAAAAACAAAACCAGAACAAACAAAATTGAACTGTATGAGAGTTCTACAACGATGAGCCATTCATCCAGACCAGTAAGAGGGGCAGAGTCAGCGGTGGCGAAGAGGGGTCCCGGCAGGAAAAAGCGGTGGTTGGTGGACCCGGCAGGCGAGGGACGAAAGCCCAGTAAGGCTTGTAAGGCAGCTGGCTGACCACAGACACACATTCACATGCAGATAAACCAGGCAGGTTTAAAAACGGCCAGTGAGACAGACTGAGCAACCCAGGGCCCCAGCTCCAGGAAATAAAGCCTAAAACCACCAATTGGTAAAACTTTCAGGGGTTGAGGTCCCGGGAGAGGTGCCCAGCCTCACAGGAGAGTTCACTGGAAAGACCCATGGGGTCCTAGAATGTACACAAGCCCACCCACCAGGGAACCAGTGCCAGAAGGGCCCAATTTGCTTGTGGGAAGTGGCAGAGGGGACTGAAATCTGAGAGAAAGTAGAAAAAAACGCTATTGTTCCCTCTCTAACCCTGCCCCCACATACAGCGTCACAACCCAGTGACTGGGTCACCCCGCCCTGGTGAACACCCAAGGCTCTGCCCGTCATAAGTAATGGGCGCAAAGAGACCAAAACATTATGGCTCAAGCAGAAGAACAGCTCAAAGTCCCAGAGCCAATACTTCTAAGTGACCAAGAGATAGCCAACCTATCAGATGCACAGTTCAAAACACTGGTGATCAGGATGCTCATAGAACTGGTTGATTTTAGTCACAAATTAGATGAAAAAATGGAGGCTACACTAAGTAAAATGAAGCAAAATGCACAGGGAACCAATAGTGATGGAAAGAAAACTGGGGCTCAGATCAATGGAGTGGACCAGAAGGAAGAAAGAAACAACCAAACAGAAAAGAATGAAGAAACAAGAATTCCAAAAAAATGAGGAGAGGCTTAGGAACCTCCAGAACATCTTTAAACATTCCAACATCCGAATTATAGGGGTACCAGAAGGGGAAGAGGAACAGCCACAAGTGGAGACCTTATTTGAGCAAATAATAAAGGAGACCTTCCCCAATCTGGCAAAGGCAATAGACTTCCAGGAAATCCAGGAAACTCAGAGAGTCCCAAAGAAGTTGGACCCAAGAAGGAACACACCAAGGCACACCATAATTACATTAGCCAAGATTAAAATGAAGGAGAGAATCCTAGAAGCAGCAAGAGCTAAGGGGACAGTCACCTACAAAGGAGTTCCCATCAGACTGTCAGCAGATTTCTCAAGAGACCTTACAGGCAAGAAGGGGCTGGAAAGAAGTATTCCAAGTCATGAAATCCAAATACCTACAACCAAGATTGCTCTATCCAGTGAAGCTTTCATTTAGAATGGAAGGGCAGATAAAGTGCTTCTCAGATAAGGCCAAGTTCAATGAGTTCATCATCCCCGAGCCCTTATTATATGAAATGTTAAAGGGGCTTATCTAAGAAAAAAAAGATAAAAATATGAACAGGAAAGGACAGTAAACACACATTTATTAACAACCACACTTAAAGCAAAAGCATTGATGGTGGGGGGAAAATAGTGGGAGGGCAAGAGTAGTGTGGGAAATGTAGAAGCTAAAGAACTTATGACACATGGACATGAACTAAATGGGGGGAATGTGGGGAGAGGGGCAGAGTGGAGAAAAATGAAGGAGGGGAATGGGACAACTGTAATGGCATAATCAATAAAATATACTAAAAAATAAAAGTAAAAAATATTTAAATGTATACCAAGCTAATAGGTAGAAAATATATCTCATAAAAAAGAATTAATGAAGAAAGGCATAAGTAAGTAGAACAACAAATCGATATTTCTTTCCTTCTTTCTCTCTTTCCCTTCCCCTTTCTCTGACTCTCTAAAAGTCAATAGAACAAACCGCACAGAGGGTCCCTGTCAACACCACCCATGTACCATAAACTCTAGGCAGCAGGAACAAAGTGCTTGTAAAGTATGTGCATTTTATAGTTTCAAGAGCTAATATCTAGGATAAGGGGAATTAAGTGTTTATTTGGAAAAATCTTAGTAAGTCACACAGAACAGAGGAACCGGAATGAAGAGGGCATGCTTAAGCTAATTCAAAGTATACTTCTGGCCTAAAATATCGCCATCTATTTCCTGGCATGTGTGAGACAAGGTAAGAGAGAAAAAATGGAAGACCGTGAACACAGAGCGCTTGGTCTACTTGTTAGCCAAAGGAAAGTCACATTTCTGCATCCTGAGACAAAATGTGTAGCAAGAAGTAAACAGTGAAATAGAGACACAATCCGTAATGATCACTGCGACAGTGCTCAGTCTTCTAAGTGCGTAACGGCACTAACAGAGACTCGACATACTAGATGAAGAATACCTCAGTAAGACGTTTTTAAAAACCTGTAATATGGCAGTAACTATCCATGGTTGATATTCTTATTGTTTTTTAAATTTATTTGGTTGCCCTAATAATACAACCATTCTATTTTATGGTTTATTTTGGAAGAGTTTTTAAACATTTCCTTTACTTTGGACCTTTGATACAATTCATACCATTTTTTATCAAGTTCAATTTTCTAACAGGTCCATTATATACTGTAATTATGACCCCCATCAATAACTTGAGAAATATATTGATTTGTCTCTTCCCATTGGTAGCAAATTGAGATCACAAGTCTTCTGAAAGGATGTCCAATTCTTCACCAAATAACGTGTGCGGCCTTCAGGATGGATTTAATCTGTGCCACTGGATGACAAGCTTCTCAGGATTTGTAACTGTCTCTCTCCACTGGTTTGCTGCTCCGATGTTGCTGCTGTCTTTGCTGACACAGATCTGTAAAGGAACAGTGCAACCATTTCACTTGACACAGTAATGGCAAGTTCAGGTCATTAATCTTATCAGTAAGACAACTGGAAGTCTGGTGTACACGTATTCAGTTAAACATCTTCCCACTTTTCCGAAAGTTTGCTTGATTTCTCTATATGAAATGTAAACGTGAAAACATTTAACCTATTGAACATGGCGGCGTAGGCAGACATGGCTCACCTGTTTGCACAACCACATCAAAATTACAACTCAAACATAGAACCGCCATCACTCAGAACCATCAGAAACCGAGCTGAATGGAAGTCTGACAACTACAGAATTAAAGAAACTGCATCCATCCAGACTGGCAGGAGGGACACAGACACAGAACAGGCTGGTCCCTCACCCACGTGTGGTGGGTAACATCTGGGGAGGGGGATATCTCAGGAGCAAGGAATCCTAGACTCACTCCAAGCCCCCCACCTAGGGTTCCAGTGCCAGGAAAGTAAGTCCCCACAACTTCTGGCTGCATAAACCTGTGGGGATTGAGTCAATAGAAGAAACTTCTGGGGCCTCACACAGCTCTTAAAGAACCCACACATAGAATCACCTACTCAGACTCACTCCCTCTGAGCTCCAGCACCGGGAAGGCGACTTGAAAGAAAGGCACCAGTGGTGCACAGGGAGGAACTGAAGGGACCGGCATCAGGCGAGCAGAGGCCATTGTCCCTTTTCTAACACTCTCCTCACAGAGCCAGCAGGCTGGTGCCCTATCTGAGACTCCATCACCCTGGCTAACACTGTTTGACCTACCTTGGAGATCCCCAGAAACCCCAATTTACAGAGGCCCACCCATGCTGCTTTTCCATATGAATGGCTGGTCTTGACTTATACTTCACAACTTCCTAAATCCTCTCAAACAAGCAACAGCTGGCCTCACTGAGTCCCAGCCTGGCACTAGCAGCAGCCAGCTGAGATTCACAGCTTGGCTTTGCCTTGGAATCTCTAAGCCCAGAACAAGGAGTAGTCACCTCAGATAGCTTTATAGCTCATGCAGGGTGGCCCTGGGCAAAACACAGGTGGGGGATGACCTTGGCCTGCACCACCCAGGAAACCTCAGGGCCAGTGCACCCAGCGGACAGCTACAGACCGAGCTGGAGCACCACCACCCTGCCCCTGCACAGCTGATCCTCCACAGAGGGTGGAGGGTGGTGGTCAGTGGTCACAGCCAGTCCTTGCAGCTAACTGGCCTGGGTAAATCCCTCCCATTGACCTGCTGACAGCAACCAAGGCTCAACTACAAGAGGAGGGTGTACTCAGCTCACACAAAGGAAACACTTGAGTACCCAGCCTGGGTGATAGGGGAGGCTGTGTTACTGCACCCTACATAGGGGATGTTGTAACTGGACCCTACAGGACACCTGCTACATTAGGCCATGATGCCAAGACATGGAGTCAAAGCAGTTCTACCTAATACATAGGAACAAACACAGGGAGGCTGCTAAAAATGATAAGACAAGAAACATGGCCCAAATAAAAGAACAGGTCAAAACTGCAGAAAAAGACCTAAACAAAATGGGGAGAAGTAATCTAACACTTGCGGAGTTCAAAACACTGGTTTTAAGGATGCTCAAGGAACTTAGTGAGGACTTCAGCACCATAAAAAAGATCCAGTTAGAAACAAAGGATACACTTAACTGAAATAAAGAACAATTTACAGGGAAGCAACAGTACAGTGGATGAAACTGAGAATCAAATCAATGATTTGGAACATAAGGAAGCAAAAAACAACCAATGAGAACAAGAAGAAGAAAAACTCCAAAAAACTGAGGATAGTATAAGCAGCCTCTAGAACAATTTTGAGAGGTCCAACTTTCACGTCATAGGGGTGCCATAAGGAGAAGAGAAAGAGCAAGAAAATGGAAATCTACTTGAAAAAACAATGGAAGAAAACTTCCCTAATTTAGTAAAGGAAATAGACATGCAAGTCCAAGAAGCACAGAGTTCCAAACAAGATGGATGCAAAGAGGCCCACTCTAAGACACATCATAATTAAAGTGCTTAATGTTAAAGATAAAGAATCTTAAAACCAGCAAAAGAAGAGAAGTTAGCTACCTAAAGGGGAGTTCCCACAAAATTGTCAACTGATTTCTCAAAAGAAACTTTGCAGGCTAGAAGGTATTGGCAAGAAATATTCAAAGGCATAAAAAAACAGGAACCTACAGGCAAGATTACTCTACTCAGCAAAGATATTATTTAGAATCGAAGGACAGATAAAGAGCTTCCCATACAAGAAAAAACTAGAGGAGTTCATCATCACCAAACCATTATTATATGAAATGTTAAAGGGGCTTATTTAAGAAAAAAGAAGACCAAAACTATGAATAAAATGGCAAAAAATACAAATCTATCAACAATTGAATCTAAAAAGCAAACTAAGCAAACAAGAACAGAGACAGAATCACAGATACAGAGAAGATTTTGATGGTTGTGAGATGGGACAAGGATGTGGGGGAAGGGTGAAGAGGTGAGGGGATTAGGAAGTACAAATAGAGCTCTGGCTGGTGCAGCTCACTGGATTGAGCACGGGCCTGCAAACCAAAGGACTGAGGTTCGATTCCCAGTCAGGGCACATGCCTGGGTTGCAGGCCGGTTCCTGGCAGGGGACACATGAGAGGCAACCATACATTGATATTTCTCTTCCTCTCTTCTTCCCTTCCCCTCTAAAGATAAATTAAAAAAATTTTTTAAGTACAAATAGGTAGTTACAGAATAACCACGGGGATCTAACCTACCCTACAAAGTGCGATACTAATCACATCTTGTCAATATTTAATAGAGATTTTGGAATTTAAATGTGAGTCAAACGATTGTAATTAAGGTAAAAGCGCAATAGACAGCTCCCACTACTCCACTCAGAGTTAAGAAGGGACAAAAGGAAACAAGTCCCTGTAGGGTCTGCATGAGGCAAACATTATATTGTCTTACACAAAGTACTAAGAATTTTAAAACAAATTTATCCAGACACCCATACTGACTATTTAAATAATATCAAAACTACTATAAAAATGTTTTCTGCAAGCCAAATCTAACATAGTTCAGTTAACAGCAGAGTTGAACACTAAACTGAACATAAAAAGAATAAAGTTGGATATCTTTATAGCCTTAAGAAATGTAATTCAAATACTCAGTGATCCCTCCTTCATAAGGATAGTCAACAGTACTGAAATATTGACTGGTCTCATTGGTTTTAAATTTAAACAGCACAAAAAAGATCTATTTTCCCACAATAAAAATGTAAAGTTTATTTGAAAAAAACTCATTTTGAGATAAGCCTGATTGCTCAGAAATTCCAATTCCTTGTGTTTAAGCAGAACGTCTGACAGGATTCGATTTTTGTGGCAACACTGAATTTTTCGTCATGATGCTGAGACTTGTACTCCACCAAAGTCCAATTCGACCCTGTATTCCTCCTGCGGACCAGCTGTTTGAATGCGTCGAAAAGCGCAAGGAAAGAATTCAAAGTAAAAATTACCCCTACTGACCTGCCCCACGAAATGCCGCCTTCTCACAGAGCTCCGGCTATAAAGCTTGATGAGAAAAGTGATTTCCTTTTCGCTCTGTACAAGTGGGAAAATCAGAGTCTCCCCCCACTTGACTCTTCCACCGGAGGCCTTCAGTAAACGCGTCTTCTTCTTATAAATCAGCTCCCCTGAGCTGAACATTGCCACTTTCACGAAAAAGCCTACAAAAGAAGAAATTCCGATATATAATATTTTATCTAAAACACCATATAAAGGTATGTATGTTTGATGTACAAATATGAAGAAGCCACTTTTTCAAGTTCTGATCAGCTATTGCCATAACAGAAAACATCTTTAGTAAACTCTTTAATTTCTATCGCACTCCATAATGAACTACTGTAACCCCAGACGAATTTAATCTCCCTCCAACATGAGTGGCATTAGAGACCGGAACTGCAGGCATAAGCAATGCTCAGCAGCTGGGAAGGGCGCACCGGAAAGGGTTACACAAAAGAGGGGGGCCACCTTTTCTGGACGGCTGGAGGAACTGACTTCACAGCTTCACAGAGGTAAAACTGCTTGAGGCTCTGGAAGTTCAACACATGCTCACTAGAGAAAATCTACTACTTAAATAAATTGGAGATGTAGAGCTTCCAGCAATGGTAGAATAGCTTCTACAAACTAACCTTCCCATAGATAACAGTGAGAAACTCGGGGGGAAACATAACAAAAACTACTTCCGACACTAAAGACTGACCAAAAACAGAAACTGGGAAGGAGTCAGCACTTGGAAGATGGGAACTGCACTGAGTGAAATTCGGGTTTCTGTGGCTTTTCACCCAAGCAAACTCCCAAGCCTGACTAACACCAGCGGCTACAGTGTAAGCAGACATACAGACTGACTGAGTAGTCCCAGGGTAGAGCTGAGACTGCCGGGTAGCAAGAGAGGAGGGAGCCGCAAAGACTGGCAGAGACCTGGCGGAGACGGAGGGGCTGAGACTGGCCTCTGGATATAAAACGGAGGTCACTGGCAACCCTGATTAGAATTTTGATTGAAGGAAGACACCTGTTAATGTAATGAACTACATTGTAGGTTTCCACTGCTGTCTCTGGTTCCTAGAATTAACACTTTGTAGTCCTGGTCATTTCTTATTTTAATACCAAGTTAGACATTTTTTGGCGTATTTTTTATGATTTTTTCCATCTGTCTACATAAGCGATGGCAGTCTATAGCTATTTTTGCATTAACTACTCTTTCTGCTTTGACATAAAGAATATGTTAACCCCATAAAATAATTTTTTCCACCTTTTTTTCATGCTTTGGAACAGCTTATATATAAAATAGGAATTATATATTCCTTAAGTTTGGTAGAATCTGCCAGTAAAATCATCTTGGCCTTGTACTTTTATTAAAAGTTAACTATCTTTATACAGACTTTATTTTATTGAGATTTTCTTGCTTTTATTATTTTTCATCAACATTTCCTTTTTCATTGTTGTTCAAGTACAGTTGTCTCAATCTTCCCCCTCACTCTCCCCACCCCAGCCACCCCGTTTCCCACCCTCGATCCTACCCACCTTTGGTTTCGTCCATGTGTCCCTTACGGATGTTCCCAAAAGCCCCTCACCCTTTACCCCATTATTCCCTTCCACCTCCCCTCTGGTTACTGTCAGTTTGTTCTTAATTTCAACGTCTCTGGTTATATTTTCCTTGCTTGTTTTGTTGATTAGGTTCCACTTATAGGTGAGATCATAAAGGTATTTGTCTTTTACCACCTGGCTTAGTTCACTTAGTTTTATTCAGATTTTCTTCTCTAGTGAACTTGAACAATTTTCCTTAAAAAAATCACTTATTTTTTGCTTGCTTGTTTGTTTGGTTGATTAGGTTCCAAAATACAACCAGAGACACTGAAATAAAGAACAATCTGGCCAAGATGGAGAAGTAGGTGGAGGGTCCACCTCGCCTCTGTGCACAACCAAATCTAAGAACAACTATTTTTAACAGCAGTCACAACCAAGCCACATGGAAAATCGACAATACGGAGTCCAAAGGACAACTAGATACTCGGCTGGACCGGTACGAGGAGTGAGGCCAGCAGCGGAGCAGGTTAGCAAGAAAAAATTCCCGGGGCGGTGTGCGGAGCGCGCAGGCAACCGAGGGCCCTGATCGCCAGTGAGCTGGCTGCCGGAGCGCACACGGAAGAGGTGCGGTGGGTCGGTCGCACGCATTTACGTGCGGAGAAACCAGTGAGAAGGGAAACCCGCGCGGTGCAGCAGGCTCGCAAAATTAGGATCGGATAAGCAAGCCCCAGGCGTTTGAGTGTCTGGATGCGCTGGGCTAGCGGAGAGGAACGCCATCGCTCCCTCTCTGACCCCGCCCCCACACACAGCGTCACAAACCAGCGACCTGGGTCGCCCCGTCCTGGTAAACAACTAAGGCTTCGCTCCGCTCACTTAACAGCACGAATAAACCAAAAATGGCTCTAGAACAACTCAGAGCCCCAGAACCGATAGACCTAAGTGATGAAGAAATAGCCAGTCTTTCAGATGCACAGTTCAAAACACTGGTTATAAAGATCCTTACAGAACTGGTGGATTTTAGTCACAAATTAGAGAAACATATGGAAGCTAAATTAATTGAAATGAATGCTGATACAAAAGATACCAATAGTAATGGAAAGAAAATTGGGACTCAAATCAAGGGAGAGAACCAGAAGGAAGAAAAAAATGATCAAACAGAAAGGAATGAAGAAATAAGAATTCAGAAAAATGAGGAGAAGCTTAGGAACCTCCAGGACATCTTTAAATGTTCCAACATCCGAATTATAGGGGTACCAGAAGGGGGAAAGGCACAACCACCAGTTGAAAAATTATTTGAACAAATAATAAAGGAGAATTTCCCCAAGATGGCAAAGGAAATAGACTTCCGAGAAATCCAGGAAGCTCAGAGAGTCCCAAAGAAGTTGGACCCAAGAAGGAACACACCAAGGCACATCATAATTACATTAGCCAAGATTAAAATGAAGGAGAGAATCCTAGAAGCAGCAAGAGCTAAGGGGACAGTCACCTACAAAGGAGTTCCCATCAGACTGTCAGCCGATTTCTCAAAAGAGACTTTACAGGCAAGAAGGGGCTGGACAGAGGTATTCCAAGTCATGAAAACCAAAGATCTACAACCAAGATTGCTCTACCCAGCAAAACTTTCATTTAGAATGGAAGGACAGATAAAGTGCTTCTCAGATAAGACCAAATTCAAGGAGTTCATCATCACCAAGCCCTTACTATATGAAATGTTAAAGGGACTTACCTAAGAAAAAGAAGATAAAAAAGATGAACAGTGAAAGGACAGCAAACTCACAGTTATTAAGAACCACACCTAAAACAAAAGCAAACTAAGAGGATAGCTAGATCAGGAGCAGAACCATAGAAATGAAGATCACATGGAGGGTTAGCAACAGGGGAGTGGGAGGAGGGGAAGGGGGGAGAAGGTACAGAAAATAAGTAGTATAGACAGTAGATAGAAAATAGATAGGGGGGAGGGTAAGAATAGTAGGGGGAAATACAGAATCTAAAGAATTTGAGACACATGTTCATGAACTAAAGGGGGGAAATGGTGGGGGAGGGGTATGCAGGGTGGAGGGGAAGGGAGGGGGGAATAGAGCAAATGTAATGGCATAATCAATAAAAAAAAATAAAAATTAAAAATAAATTAAAAAAAAAAAAAGAACAATCTGACAGTAACCACAGGTGTGGGGTGGGGAGGGATAATGTGGGAAAACAGGGGAAGGGCCATCAAGGATCACATGTAAAGGGCACATGGACAAAGCCAACGGGGGGTGGGTTCAAGGGCAGAAGACGGCGATGGGTGGGGCGGGCAGCTGTGGTGGGGTGAAGATGGAGATAACTGTACTTGAACAACAAAACTAAACTAAACCAAAGTAGAGCAGATCTCAAGGATATATATTAAAAATAATTTATTTTAAATAAATTTCAAAGGCACTGGTAGTTATAGAAAGGACTGCCTTATTTATTATGAAATCTCTTCTGAATTTGAAATTATATTCTCATCCTTGTTCATGTTCTCTTTACTTTTTGCTTGATGCAGCCTACCAAAGGTTTGTCTATTTTCATGATCTTTTCAAAGAAAAACTTTTGGTTTTATTGATCGTCTTTTGTTGTTGCCTCAATATTTATCAACTTCAACTCTGGCTTTAATTCCTTCTTTCCTTTGTGATTGCTGTTTTTCTAGCTTGGTGAATTGAACACTGAGTTGTATTTATTTTCAGTCTCATTAGTTACCATGGACGTCCAGATAACTTCCCTTCTGGTAGGAGGAAGGGGTGCTCTTGCCCCACCCTTCACCCACAGGGCAGAACTGACCTTGACCTTGAGCTCCGTGGAGGCCACTGCAAACCAGGCCTGTGAAGCCGGAGTATCAGAACCCCTGGTTGCACCCAGAGGGTGGGGAGGAAAAGAGTTCCAAGGGTTGTGTTTGATACTTTTGGTTTTTGGGAATTAAGTGTCTCACTAGCAGAGTATCCAACGAAGGATGCTGGATGAACTCTGAAGGCTGTAAGACATGTCTGACAGTCCTCCAGACCCTGTGGCTACTAATGAACCAAACAAGGAACAGCCTCCAATGCAGAGAGGTTGCAACTGGGTAAGAACCAGGAGGCTGGTGGATTCAGGCAGAGACAGTGGCTAAAATCTGAAGTCCAACAAAGTGATTTTAAGTTAAAACATAACTGCTTGAGTTGAATTATAAAAGTAACTAAAATTTTAATCTCCCTTGTAGGAAGTGTAGAAAAAAACATTTCTTACTAATATTTTCTTTAGATTTCACTTTGAACCACTGACATACTTACTCAAAGTCAGAGGTGTTGATGAGCTTGGAAGGCACTGTGCCTCAAGAATTTGCAGCTGAATCCTGCTGTTTACTGCTTGAAAGCAAGTCCCCAGTTCAAGTTCTGCATGGCACACCTGCATGTCAAAAAAGTGTCATTTGGTAATTAAGAATAAAGTTTCGAGATATTTCAAAAATTCAAAAATGAAGAGCTAAATTAGAAACTGTGAGGTCGCTGCTTTGGATCGGCACACAAAGTTATACATTATTAGGTTTAGAAGAAAAAAAGGCATGGATTTTGTACAAACGAGGTGATGACCTTCATAAACTCTGAAAACACAAGTTGCAGCTACACACTGACCCTTCAAAATCAGGGAGACTGAGAGACAATGCCAACTGGAAACAAATGAAACTCGAAAGCAGTTTAGTAGAGCAAACGTCAGTGCCATGAACACCAAAGAGCAAGCATACTGTCAAAAGACTTACATGCAGTCATTGGAATTATTTTTTTAAGAACGTAGGAAATATGATTTAAAAACACAGTGAGAATCATTCTTATTTTTTCTAAATGTGTGAATCAGAGTAGGTGCCACCAAAATCAGGAGATGACAGGTCACCACAGTGCACAGGTCTGTGGGCTGGGAGCCGAGTCACCACACCGAATGGGGGCAAGCCCACGTAGGGAGCTGGCGAGAAGGAAGCGAGTGCACGTTACAAGGTCAAAGAAAACCTGAGGCAAACGATGAAATGAAGGAGGTGTAGAGAGCAGGCAAAGTAAAAATGTGCTTCTCCTCAGTGCTGCCCACCAAGAGCAGAATAAAGCCAGTAACTTGTCTGAAAGAGGACAGGAGCCAGCCCACTGACAGGGCCTCAAAGGTTCTTGGAGTGAACAGTACAGGAGAGAGACGTAAAGCTGTCTACACATGAACACGTTACCCTTCCCGTGTTGAAAAGACATGGATGGGGATGAGGCGGGCCAGGCCGCTGAGAGGTCCCACGGGGCTCAGCAGAGACGGGCAGCGAAGTCTCTGCTCGTGCTGATTCCGACAAAGCCACAGCCCAGCCAGGTGGCACTTTATGAGACCTTCATACGTGATAATCGCCCGGCAGCCCAGTAACTGGCTCCCAGCTCCCTAAGAAAGAACCTCTCTAGGTGTGGTCCACTGACTGAATCTTGGGCATTCACCTAAAACGTGGTACTGAGTTGTAGAATTGGTTGTGCCATAAGAAGTCAAGAGATAGTGCAAAGTGAAATCACTTAAAAGCATAAACTGAACTGTTGAGGCTAAACTGTCCTACGCTAAGTCTAAAATAATGAGAAACTTCCCTATTTTGGTGAAAAATAATGCTATGCTACATTCCAATACATAACTGAATGTACCACCTTTGTACTCAATCAGAAAAGAATGAATTAATACATCTTTTCACACGGACTAATTCAGTAGCCATATATAAAACAAAACCTTTGCTGATATAAAACTTCTGATACACAATCTGGTAGAAACTGAACCATAATCATTCATTCAGATTCTCCAAAGCAGATCAGATTATAATGTCTCAATTTCCCAGAAAATACCTTTGCTGAGTCTGATATACTTTACCACTCTCACGAATTTCAGTTGTAATTCATGAATTATCCACTTGTATATGTGTGCCTTCTATAAAATATTGTTGAGGGTTACTATCCACTAAGCTCATTCCAAATATGCAAGTGACAAACCCCTATCAGCTACAGAACAAACTTCCTATATTTGAACAGAAAATACTCTAATTTGGCATGCTTTCATTCACCATTTATTCTTCCAGTCTATCCACATACAAATAGTCAAGAGCATGAGAGGCCCTCACTAAGAGCCCAGCAAAACATGAAGAAAGATGTAAGCTCGAGTTGAAAACAACTAACTTAAATGATTCTAAGTGATAATAAATATTATAAAAAACCCACTGGGGGACAGAGACAAAAATAATAGACAAGGGAATAAAGAAATCAAGAAATTTCAGCTATTCTTGATCAATTATAGTAATCCTTGGCTTTTAATTTTTTGAACATTTAATTTCCCTCAAATTCAGTGATTCTGAAGCCAGGCTGCACATCAGCATCACCTGCAGAGCTTCCGCAACTTACAGATGCCTCTGGTCCTACGCCCCCAAATATTCCGAGTTCACTGGTTCAGGAGTGGGCATCTTTTAAAGCCCCTGTGGTGATACTAATATGTACCCAGGGTTAAATATCACTTCAAGTCATCTTAAATATTTTTGAAAAGTAGATAAAATATAAACCCTATATAAATTTAAAATCACATAAACTTTGACCTTATAAAAGCTTATGGCTGATTTCTATAAGTGTTATCCTAACATAGAAGCTACTATATAAGTAAGTTATTAGGGACCTTTAAACAATTTAAATGTTCAGGTGGCTAGTTGAGAGAAGCAAACATCAGCTCTCAAAAATAAACCAACACTGTAGCTAACCAAGGTCTTTACAAAAAATACCAGCTGTGTAGCTGTGCCCTGGCCGGTGTGTCTTAGCTGGGGGAGCATCGTCTGGTAAACCGAGAGGTCGTGGGTTCCATTCCTGGTCAGGACAATACCTAGAGTCAGTCCCTAGTCAGGGCACCTGTGAGAGGCAACCAACCAATGTTTCTCTCTCACACCGATGCTTCTTTCCCTCTCTTTCCCCCTCTCCCCACTCTCTCTAAAATCATAAGCTATCCATAGGTGAGGATAAAAAATACGTACATTCCAGCTGTCAGAACTTCCTTTATACCCAATTTATGGACAGATATATAGCTGACTCATGATTAAAAACAGCTTTCTTAATCTATTTGAAGCAATCTCTGATGGAGTTTACGGTTCATGATTCTTTCCTGCTTTTCCTAAGTTATCTGCTACCAAAAAAATTTATAAACAATTAATAATTTTAGATGATTCATAGTCCAGGGTTATTGACACACTACTATCACGTACAGAAATTTTCGAAGGTGGCATTATATCCAAAGAGTAGTCCATTTCCTGCGTGCCGAGGGTTCTGAGTGACAGCGAGCATTCTCCAATGGTTTTCTTCCTGGGGGTCTGGGTTTGAACCTTAAACACAAGCCTTCCAGTTTGCAGACTTTGGAGTTTAATAGCAAATACAAAAGTTTCCATAAATTCAATAGGCTAAAAAAAAGAAAAGAAAAACATATAAATAAAAGGACTGAAAAAACAGTGATATGCCAAAACAAAATAAATAAAAATGACATTTTATACTCTGGGAAAGGTAGATCAGAGTTTTTACAACAATAAAAATTTTTTATGTAAATGAAAATGAGAATTGCCATAACTTGTTTTTCCAGAATTTATCCTGGATACTCCTTTCTTATTTTCACATGTCATCCTGTTAATTACTGAATCAGGAATTCAGGTCAATACCAACAGCAAGTGTATCAGAATATATATAGCTTTTCCCCTTCTTGAAAATGGGGCTGTTTCCCATCTTTGGTTCTGGGGCATCTTTTTTGCTATGTACAATTCTTCACCAGTAAATAAGAGTGGTTTAAGAATCCCAGCCGAGCTCTCTCAGTACTCTGAATCTAGCTTGTTCAAGTTACAAGACCTGAATTATTTCTTGAAAGGAGCGATTCTTTGTCTAATGTCCTTCCCATCTATCTTAGACTTCAATTTCACTTTTGGCGGTTTGTTCCACTCTTTGCAATCTGAAAATCAATCTCCTTAACAGAGAAGACGAAGGAAAATATGAGTATAAAGTTCCTCCCTCTCACATTAGCGTCCATCCCACACTGCAAGTCCATGTTTTCCACGCTCAGAATATTTTCAAATGTGCTTTTTCTTACTTTTAACATTTTTAAACCTTGGTTTACCATGGGCTAAGACCTTATTCACACTAGACTATTTTTTGCTATGCACTCTCTTCTTTCCATCTTTAATGCATCCTTTTGAAAAGCATCTTTTTCTTTCCCTTTGGAAAAGTAAGATAGCTGGGCGACTAACATCAATAGTTTAGATGCTGTGCCCAAATTTTCTCTTGTAATTGTTTGTGCCTGTGGTCAGAATTGTGTTTCTGAGAGTCACTCAACCATTCAAGCTTTCTTTTCCTGCTAACTTTTCCTAAATTAGCTTAGTTTTATTTGAAAATCAGAAGTGAAATTGTTAAATAAGTGTCAGGATTACAACCAGAGATGACTTATTTCCATTTAGAGTTTCTACAATGCATATTTGCATAATGTGAAATCTTTCTATATATATGTATCGATTTGATTTCTGGATTCTCACTTAAGAACATTTTCGCATGTGCTTGAAAACTCTTCCTGAACACTACTTTTCATAGCTTTCTAGTATTCTATCACATGATGTTATGATTTGAATTGTGTCCCCCCCAAAATATATCAAAATTCCTAGACCCTCCCCAAAATATGTTGAAGTCCTAACCCCCAGCAACTCCGAATGTGACCTTATTTGGAAATAGGGTCACTGGAGATGTAATCAGTAAAGCTAAGAGGAGGTCATGCTGGAGCAGAGGGACTGGTATCCGTCCAAGAAACCATGCACGTAAAGACACTGAGAGACAGGGAGAACGCCCTGCAGGGATGGAAGCTGAGACTAGAGTGAAGCCGCAGAATGTCAAGGACCATCAGCCACCCAGAGAAGCTACAGGAGAGGCATGAAACAGACTCTCCCTCAGAGAAGGAAGCAACCCTGCTGAAACCTTAATTCCAGACTTCCTCCAAAAAATGTGAGAGATCAGTTTCTGTTTGTTCTAAGCTATCTAGTTTGTGGTACTTACTTACAAAAACCCTAGGAAACTAACACATGTGGTGTTCATGAGTTTTCTCAACCATTCCCCTATATGAGACATTTAGAATGTTTCTAGTTTTATTACTATGAACAAATTGCCAAGAATACTATATATAAGAAGTCTGTCTGGAAAAAGTCCAGCCATTGTTAATATAATGAGAAAGGTTTGTGTGACATCAATTTCATGTGGTGGCCAAGGAGAGTGGACTGGAACACACATGAGTGAACAATGACAACTTCACTGCACTAGTCAGTAGGGGTGAGCATGTGTCACTGAGTGAGCATGTGTACTGTGTAGCCACTGCATTCAAAATGACTGAGAGAAGAGTAACAAATATGCACCCAACTTTGCATTAAGCTTGAAATTCCTCCGTGGAAACTATTTGGACGATTCAGAAGGCCACAGCTGTGGGCAACTGGTGATTGGCAGCTTCATCACTGCAATGCCCCCACTGATGCCCACGTCTTGTGCAGAGTGTTTTGGTGAAACATCAAATCACCAGGTGACTCGGCCCCCCTGCAGCCCAGATTTGGCGCCCTGCGACTTCTGGCTTTTCCTGAAACTAAAATCACCTTTGAAAGGGAAGAGATTTCAGACCATCGATGAGATTCAGGAAAATACCACGGGGCAGCTGACAGCAACTGGAACTGCGTGAGGTCCCAAGGTACCTACTTTGAAAGGGACTGAGGCCCTTCAAAGGGTCTAAAATAACTTCAACTCCTTAACAGTTAAGGAGTAGTTACATTTATACAGTCCTAAAATTATATTCGGCCCTTTGAAGGCAACCACGAGGCTGATGCGGCCCCCGGTGAAAATGAGTTTGACACCCCAAACTGACGGAATTGTACCTGAGTGCAGTGTGCCACTGCGACATCCTTCTGAGTAAATAAAGCTACCGTACTGTTCACAACCTGCATGAAAACCCACAGTTTTTCATGCCAAAAACTGTAAACTTTTGCCTGCCCTGAATACATATCTTATATATGTATATAACACATGTTTTATATATATAATTTTTGCATGGAACAGATTCTAAGTATAATAACTATATTTAAAAAGTATAAATATTAATTGCTTAAGGTTTTGATGTGTATTATCATTAAAATAATTTTCTGAAAGTTTTATTTTCTACAGTACTTATACAATTTTTCTGTTTTTTTAATTTTTCTTTTTTTATTGTTGTTCAAGTATAATTGTTTCCATTTCCCTCCCACTACTCCCCCACTTTTCTGATTTTAATAAAAGAAAAAAGAAAGACAAGGAAGATAGACAATAAAGAAAAACAATATGTAATTAATTCTACATTTGAATTACCTTAGTTTTTAAATGTATGTTTTTGTGGAAAATAACTTCGATTCGCATGGACAAACACTAAGCCTTCAACCCACATCAGAAGACAAAAATAAAGATATATTTAAGTTAATATGAAATCTGGAGCCTATAAAACCAAATCTCCCAATTATAATAATGGGAAGTATTTAAAAGTAATTAATTGCAATCATGCAAGTATTTCTCAAAGCCATATGGAATGAGGGGAAAGAGGATAAAAATACAGACATTTATTTTTCTTTTGTAAGAGAAAAAGCAAAGAGTATTCTTATATATTGTTTATCTCCTATATATTTTAGTGATTAAAATTTTCTTTTTAAATGCACTTTAATATTAGACAGAGAAATAGCAAATATTTTTTCAGGCTCAAAATTGTCATTAAAAAGCAAGAGATACATAATCTATAGTTTCCCCCAAATAAAACACTTTCTTATTCCAATTCTTTACATGGGTTAAAGTGACAAATAAGAGAGAAACATAAAGAGAAATTGAAACACAAAGAGCCACTTACATTGGAGGCTTCCTTGGCTGAAGATTTGAAATGCACCGGTTTGGGCAATGTTAGCGTTCCCTTTACAGAAATAGTAGGAGCATCGCCACAACTAGAGGGCCAACTTAAATCTTTGCACTAAAAGAAATTTAAATACAGTTTCAATTTTACAAAAGACACTGCCATACAAATATTTTATGTGTTTCTTGAGTTAATGGCTTCAGGTACAAACTGTAAAAGCAAACTTTAGCCTACTGAGACTTCCTGTTTCATCTACATTAAAATACTGGACATTTACTGTTCTGGGTATCACATTAATTTCCTTCTTGAGGTTAAAAAAATCAAATACTTTCATTACACCTACTAATTTATTTTCTTTAGCTTCTTTACTGAGTACAGTTTTCTGCAAAATACTATAGAACCCTAAATTCCAGAGAAAGTGACGGCCCGTTTCCCCAGAAGAGAGCAGCAGGACATGCTTACATCACAGTCTAAGTACTGAGCCCTGAGAGAAAAACTGGTGTCCACTCTGACAGCGCACCTGTAAGACTGTGATCCAGATCTGCTCTGCGGAAGAACTGTAAAACACTCTCACGCTCAGTCTCCCCAGGTCCCCTTCATCTCCCGAGAGGGTGATCGTGTCTGAATTGGAGAAGAACAAAGGTATGTGAAATGCTATGCACGCCTTCTAACCCAATTAAGCTTTGATACAATCTGACTTTGAGGGCAAAACTGAAAAATGCTACAATTATTTTTTAAAGTTGACAATTTCATAAAACACATCCCCGCCCTCTGCCACTGTTTTCCTGATGCGCTACGAGGAAGATATAAAAAGTTAATCCAATTATAATGACCTGAAAATTTTAAGTTTAAACTAAGAAAGACTTCCCAAATAACACTGATATGGCCTTAATACCGACGGCTTCAGAAAGTTCCTTCACTGATATACTTTAAAACAAACAAAGAAAAGATATTTCACTCCTTCACTCTTTTAAAAGATGCATTCATGCCTGCACACTAAAAACAGACCCTCTGATGCAAATCCTCGTATGCAGATAACAGTGCCAACGCAGACAATCACCTGGAGCCTCTTTCACTTTATCGTATGTACTTTCCGATTCCTCCTGGGCAGAACTAACTCCCCCGAGAACATAAGAGCAGGACACTTCGTTCCTTACCCAGGCTTCTGTTACTCCCCTGAGAGTTATTCCTCGACGAAGAGCTGCTGGGCACACTGGACAGCGAATCGTGTCTCTACAAAAAAAATTCTTTTTCAGTCAGAAACGGTGCATCAGACTTTGAGGATTCTGAAATAATACCTACCCTACCACCAAACTGCATGCTAACCATTTTGACATTTACTGATAAAAACTTCCCACTTTTCAGCCTGGGCGAGTCGCTCAGTTGGTTAGAGTGTCAACCCAATATGCCAAAGCTGCAGGTTCAATCCACATGCAGGGCACACATAAGAAGCAACGAATGAGTGCATCAATAAGTAGAACAACAAAGCAATAAGTAATACAAAAAATTTTCTAGTTTCCCACTTTTAGATAGAAAAGAGGAAGAAAGACTTTGGTGTGTGTTATCAGAAAAATCTTAAATACCATACTAGATAACATGTGGAAAAGCCTTTGTTGTTTGGTTCAGTTTTATAATAAGGGTGAAGAGGTTATGGTTTATGTTTCATACTCAAAAGTACTAATGAAAATCAGGAGGTATTTGGAAGTGCCCTGTTACCTAACAACCTGCAAAGCAGAAGTCACCAAAGCACAGTCCCTCTGGACCAGGAGCATCTGCACCACCTGGGAAACTATTAGAAATACAAACTCATTGTATTGAGTTTGTATTAGTAGCTCCACTGCGGAGCTACTAAGTGAAAAGCTCAGGGAGTGAGGTCTGGCCTTCTGTATTTTAACTAGCTCTCCATACAATTCCAACGCATGTTAAAGAACTGGTGCTTAAAGAATTAAGTCTGCAAAAAATTAACTCAACTGGGACTATTAAGGGTTATTTAGAATATGCTTCCATATTAATAAAGTATATGTACATACATTCACATAAAAAAGTCCACAAGTATATACACACAATATTCACTTTTACTCTGTTTTAGGAATGCAGGAGAGTTTTCCTTTTACTTTTGCTTAGATCCACTTTCTAAGTTTTTAATAACAATCACGGTTCACTTGTATTAAAAAAGGAAATATTTTTTAAATATCAAAAATTCTCAATTTTATTTGAAAAATAGCACAGTGTTAATATTAATGAATAATTAAAGTTCTACATCTTGATGGAAATACTAACTTTTATTAACTACATAGTTATGTTCATTAAAGGACGCTGAATCAATAAGCACCTTTAACGACCTGCCACTTTAAATTCCCAGTGTCACTGCACACCAACTGAACCCGTAAAAGAGACCCGTAAAAGAACAAAGTAAAAACCACTGCCTCTTGTAATCAGTTGAACGCTCCCTAAAGTAATGCACACGGGAAATGCCAAGTGTCTATCTGAGGAGATATTAAAATAGATACTTCTACCAAAGATGTAAAACATGTTGTTCCTGATTGAAGTCAAAGGTTTCTGAGGTTTTCACTTGAAAATAAATGATCAGATATAATTAAATTACTGTAAATAATTTACCTGGGTGAACTTGTGCGATGAACTTGTAAGATCAAACATAGACTTGCTCAGTCCAGAGGAACCAAGGAGCTTGCTGGTCCTTAAGTCGCAAACTGAAAAGGGACACAAGTAAATAAATTACTTATTTTTACAGTAAAGAAAAAGAAACACTGGGTTCTACTTAATTATAATGGACTAAATCTTTTTAGGAATACACTACAAATACTATATGGAAATCTACTTAAGAGATAAAACCTAGCCAAGTTAATTATTTTTCAACTATTTCACTTTGAAACAAAAACCAACAAAAATCAAATGACACATTTTTACATCCACATCAAACATCAAGTGGGCAAAACTCATTCTTTTTTAAAAAATTTAATTATTGTTCAAACAAAACTCATTCTTTTTGCTCACATTCCTCAACTCTTCGTCCCAGAAGAATCTAAGAAGGTCTCTGTGCTGAATGCAATTCAACTATATAATGAGCACTTGCTTTTAAAAAATCACTGCCGAATCCTATGTGATCCTGTATCCTGTGATCCCTCCTCCTAAACTGTACGATCCTTGAGGGATGGAACTCTGCACACCAATTGTGTATTCCAGCACAGTGCTGAAATAAATTTGAAAGAACTACTTCTGCTTTATTTTTAGTATCTCATCCTGAATTCGGGGTTGAGCCAGCAATGCACATACATGTACATCTGTGTGAATATATACATACATAAAAGACTCAAAGAACAATGAGCTTTCTGTGAATTGGGTATGTACAAGAAAGACTGTAACTGATGCAGTATCAAATATGAAACCAAGTTCTAAAAATCATTCAGGCATTTTCTATATTCTTCCTTTGTATTTCTAATCATATCATGAGTTTCTAAGTATCAATTTCACAGAATACAGCAGAAAAGGAAAAAGCTAGTATCTGTTGTAGAATCGGTGAATGGATAAATTATACACAAAATATATCCAAAATAATCTGTAAATAAAACTCCTTTTGAAAAAGGACAAATAAAATGGATTTAGAACTCACTAGCACACATAACTTAATAATCTTTCCATTTTTATATTAGATGTAATACCACCAAGAAGTCCTGATGTTTATATCACTTCTGAAGCCTGCTTTTCTCTTATTTGTAAATTGTTTTTTATAAGACTCAAGCCTTCCAGGGTCTTAGATTTAATTTGACTTGTCCATTTGCTAAAAAACACAAGGAGCCACCTCTCCTACACCAGGTGGAGACGTGAAGAGAAGAAAGGAGAGTCTGATAGGAGTCTGACGGGCGCTGGTCTTTTTGACTAAACCTCTTTTGTACATGTTCAATAAAAAGCTGAACTCTGAGAAAGAAAGAAAAAAAACACAAAGAGGAGAAAAAACAAAAAAACATCCAAACCTGATCCATATAGTCTTGTGGCTTTTAAACACGGAGGAATGCGCCGACTCAAATCTGGTGAAACGCGCCGACTCATATAGAATGGGTTGTACACGTCATAGCTGGGTCCAGGATGGGATGAGCTGGAAAGTTCTGCCTTTCGATCTCCAAAAGATGCTCTGGCAGATCCTGAAAGCAAATGTTTCTAAAGTTTTATGACATCCTTTACTTGAAGTTATTAGCCAATAGTTGGTGCATTCAAGGCAAAGGAAAAAAAATTTGTCTTGAATAACATTCAATACTGACCCACATGTGGTTGGGATCTAAATAAGCACACATTGACTGGGCTCTAATTGTGTGGAGGATTCTGCCAGGGGTCAGCCATGAAGCCTGCTCTCAAGGCAGTCTGGGAGACAGCCACCATTTTTCTTTGCCCCTAAGCACACACTCCCAAATGTTGTGCATAATTCTATATTTTATAACCAGAGTTTCCTTGTATTTTTCTGCTTATACAAAAGACATCTTATAAGTAAAAAGACTATCTTTTTTTGGAAGTGTACTCTTTTCATGAAGACCAGGACATTTATACAAATGACCACATGCCGAGAAACACAGAGCAAGTCTCAATAAATGTTAAAGCACTGATATCCTACTGAGTATGTTCTCTAACACCAATACATTGAGGTTAGAAATAAATTGCAAGATAAATAAAAATAGTTACATTAAACATTAAGGACCAAAAATAATTTAAAAAGTAATCTTCAAAGAAAACAAGACTGAAAGATTTGCTCTGCTTCATATTAACAACAGAATATTGGCACAATGATAAGATCAAGGGAACAGAATAGAGGACCCAGAGAGAGGCACCATTTTACGGACAGTTGATTTATAACCAACACGGCACTGCACAGCAGTAGGGAAAAAATGGTCTTTTCACTAAAAGGTGATAAGAGAACTGAATATTGATATAGAAAAAAACCCTTCAGCCCAACTAAATATAGCCACAAAAAATTAATGTGCATTTTAGCTCTAAATTAAATGTTAAAGGCAAACCAATAAAACTTCTATATTAAGTAAGTCTATAAGAAAATCTTCATGGCCTTAGGGCAGAGAAGCACTCTTAAAGGGAACACAGCATTAATCAAAAAATGTTAATAAACTCAACTACATTACAATTGAAATTTTACAATCTGTCAAAAGAATAGTTAGGAGAGTAAAGCAGTAACCCGCAGAGTGGGAGAAGGTGTGTGCACTGAAGATAACCGACAAAGGGCTCACACCCAGAAGTTAGGAGGAATCCCCCCAAATCAGGGAGAGAAACAAGCCTGCCTATGTGCAAATTAGCTCAGACTTCAGCAGACACTTTGGAAGGGTCCGTCCAACCAAAGAGCCAATAAACATGACCCGGTGCTCATCTCACTGGTCACGACAAAAATGTAGATGAAAATGCTAGTAAGATACAACTTCATGCTCACCACAATTATTAAAATTAAAAAGCCTGACAGTAGCAAGTGTTGCCAAGAATGTAGAGTGATATGAACTATCAGACTCTGCTGATGAAAATGTACATTGATATGGTCACTGTGGAAAACAGTTTGCTAATTTCTACTAAAGCTAAAGATATTTATACCATGTGACCTCAAAATGCCATTCTGGGACGCATGCACAACTGAAAAACTTACATATTTACACCAAGAAACAAGAATGCTGACAAGCATCGTTACCCATAATAGCCAAAAACCGGGAAAAACTCGTGTCCGACAGTAACACAGATGGACCGCGGGATACACTTACTGTGTATCCTGCACATGGCGTGTTTTTTTTATGACACATAAAAACATACCATGGCTGAGATTCCGCATATCTAACAAGCTCTCAAGAAATGAATGGGCACCCCCACTGCTGGTCTGTGGTCTACACTGTGAGTGACAAGGGCAAGATCAGCATTGGCCAACAGAAAGATAATAAAACAAGAATGAAAAATGAAGGGCTTTGGGCAAGATGGAGGCATAGGTGGAAACACTTTGCCTTTTTGCACAACCAAATCTAAAAACAACAAAGTTTTAGCAACAATAAACACAGCCAAGCCACAGAAAATTGAACAATACAGAGTCCGACAACAATGAACCACTCAGCTAGACCGGTAAGAGAGGTGGAGCCAGCAGCAGAGCAGGTTGGGCAAAAAAGATCCCCCGACCCAGGTGCGCAGGCAGCCAAGGGCGCGGATCCCAGGTGTGGGGTAGTGATGGGCGGACCCAGTGAAGGCGCAGGGCAGCTGGCTGATGGGTCACACATTTGCACGCAGAGAAACCAGCGAAGAAGCCAGCATTGAGACAGACTGGGCAGGCCCCAGCAGCAGGAAGGAGCAGAGGGAACTGCTATTGCTCCCTCTCTGACCCCGCCCCCACATACAGCATCACAACCCAGCGACCTGGGTGGCCCCGCCCTGGTGAACACCTAAGGCACCTCTCCTCATATGTAACAGGCACAGATAAAAACATGGCTCAAGAACAACTCAGAGGCCCAGAGCCCATAAATCTAAGCAATGAAGAAATAGCCAAACTTTCAGATGCACAGTTCAAAACACTGGTGATCAGGATGCTCACAGAACTGGCTGATTTTAGTCACAAATTAGAGGAACAGGTGAAGGCTAAACTAATTGAAATGAAGGGAATTGCACAGGAAACCAATAGTGATGGAAAGGAAACTGGGACTCAAATCAAAGGAGTGGACCAGAAGGAAGGAAAAAATGACCAAACAGAAAAATATGAAGAAACAAGAATTCAAAAAAAATGAGAGGCTTAGGAACCTCCAGAACATCTTTAAATGTTCCAACATCCAAATTATAGGGGTACCAGAAGGGGAAGAGGAACAGCCACGAGTGGAAACCTTATTTGAACAAATAATAAAGGAGAACTTCCCCATTCTGGCAAAGGAAATAGATTTCCAGGAAATCCAGGAAGCTCAGAGAGTCCCAAAGAAGTTGGACTCAAGAAGGAACACACCAAGGCACATCATAATTATATTAGCCAAGATTAAAATGAAGGAGAGAATCCTAGAAGCAGCAAGAGATAAGGGGACAGTCACCTACAAAGGACTTCCCATCAAACTGTCAGCAGATTTCTCAAGAGACCTTACAGGCAAGAAGGGGCTGGAAAGAGGTATTCCAAGTCATGAAAACCAAAGACCTACAACCAGCATTACTCTATCCAGCAAAGCTTTCATTTAGAATGGAAGGACAGATAAAGTGCTTCTCAGATAAGATAAATTTCAAAGAGTTCATTATCACCAAGCCATTATTATATGAAATGTTAAAGGGACTTACCTAAGAAAAAGAAGATAAAAAAAGATGAACAGTGAAAGGACAGCAAACTCACAGTTATTAAGAACCACACCTAAAACAAAAGCAAACTAAGAGGACAGCTAGATCAGGAGCAGAAACCATAGGAATAAAGATCTCATGGAGGGTTAGCAATAGGGGAGTGGGAGAAGGAGAAGGGGAGAGAAGGTACAGAAAATAAGTAGCTTAGAAGGTAGATAGAAAATAGATAGGGGAGAGGGTAAGAATAGTATGGGAAATATAGAATCTAAAGAAGTTGAGATGCGTGGTCATAAACTAAAGGGGGGAATGGGGGGAGGGGTGGGCAGGGTGGAGGGGGATAAATAGAACAACTGTAATGGCATAATCAATAAAAAAAAGAATAAAAAATGAAAAAAAAACCCACATCATGGTGCGCTGCACAGAAACACTACTACGTGTCATCCACTGGGAACGGAATGGACACATACACTGCGTACATATAAAAATAAACTGAAGCTGCCCATAAACAGAAGAACATATGCTGAATATGCGATTTCATTTATATACAAGTTTGAAAACAAGAAAAACAAAAGCCGTAAACTGTAACATTTAGGAATACTTAGGTGGGAAAAGGAAGAAAAGCAAGAAGGTGACAACTGTAACAACTGGGTCACCGATCACCCTGAAGTGACTGGAAAGGGGACGGCGGGGGGGCTTTGGGAGTGCGCTGATGCTCCCTCACTCGATGGTGACTGCACACATGGTTTGCTTTGTGATAAATCAGTAAGCTGTGTATTTCTTTGTTCCTTTTTCCTTCGTGTTTTATATTTATTTTTTCTTTTTAAAATACATTTTCTTGATTATGCTATTACAGTTATCCTAATTTTTCCCCCTCTGTCCCCCTCCACCCAGTAATGCCCACTTAGTTCATGTCCATGGGTAGTACATATAAGTTCTTTGGCTTCTCCATTTCCTATACTGTTCTTAACCTCCCCCTGTCTATTCTGCACCGACCATTTATGCTTTTTATTCCCTGTACCTTTCCCCCCTTGTCCTCTTTTCACCTCCAGGCTGATAACCCTCCGAGTGATCTCCACTTCTGTTCCTTTTCTGCTTGTTTTCTTAGTTTGTTTTTTACATTTGGTTGTTGATAGTTGTGAATCTGTTGTCATTTTAATGTTCATAGTTGTGATTTTTTTATATAGTTCCTTTTAACATCTTATATAGTAATTGTTTGGAAATGATGAACTCGTTGAACCTGACCTTATCTGAGAAGCACTTTATCTGCCCTCCCATTCTAAATGAGAGCTTTGCTGGATAATCTAGGTTGTAGGTCCTTTCCTTTCGTGACTTTGAATACTTCTTTCCAGCCCCTTCTTGCCTGCAAGATCTCTTTTGAGAAATCAGTGGACAGTCTTATGGGAACTCCTTTGTAGCTAACTACTTGCTTTTCTCTTTCTGCTTTTAAGATTCTGTTTTTATCTTTAACCTTTGACATTTTAATTCTGTTGTCTTGGTGTGGTCCTCTTCAGGTCCACCTTGTTTGGGACTCTGTGCTTCCTGGATTTGTATGTCTATTTCCTTCACCAAATTAGGGAAGTTTTCTTTCATTATCTTTTCAAATAAATTTTCAATTTCTTGCTCTTCCTTTTCTCCTTCTGGCACCCCTATGATTCAGATGATGTTTAGAGATGTTACAGAGGCTCTGTATTCAACCCTCATTTTTTAAATTCTTTTTCTTCTTGCTGAAAATGTTTTTTTTCAGATTGAATGCTTTTATCTTCTTTATGTTCCAAATCATTGATTTGATTCTTAGCTTCATCCCCTCCACTGTTGGTTCTCTTTATTTCTTTTAGATTTTTCCTTATTTTACTTAATGCAACCTTCA